GGGGGGGCGCGAACATTTTTCTTGTAAAACAAGGGGGGCCCAGCAAAAAAAGTTTGGGAACCACTGTCCTAGTGGATGTTTTTCACATCAGACATCAGAACGTGATCTTTATAGAAAGAGCAAAAATGACTTTATTGGGCTCACGTGATGCTGAAGAAGAAGTCGTAATAATAATGTTGATTTAAGATGAACATGACTGAATCTTAAATGTTTACTAAACACAGCGAGTTGTGCTTCAGATAACTTGGTTGGCTGTAGCATGAGCAACGATTGCTGTGATTCTGGCTGTGGGCACCAATATGTTGATTCTATGGCACCAAAGGATAAGCTCCGAGTACGGATGATGTGATCATTGGTGATATTTTTGGATTTGTGTACTTTGACAGGCAAAACCGATGATGCAAAAGCCTCAGAGAAGGGTAAGGTGCCTTCCAAGAGCTCATCTGGCATCCAGCGCTCACCCTCAGATGCTGGCAGGAGTAGTGGGGACGAAGGCAAGAAACCCCCTTCTGGCATCACACGCCCACCCACCACAGGCTCATTTGGTTACAAGAAGATCCAGGGTGCCACTGGCACGCTAATTACCTCCAGTGGTGCGACACTCGCCAGTGGCTCAGCAACTCTGGGCAAGACGCCCAAATCTTCAGCTGCCATCAGCAAAGGTGCAAGCATCAGTGGTGTGCGGAAGACCAGTCTGGATGGCTCACAGCCCCAGGATGATGGCATCCTGCTCAGCTGCAGTGGCTCGAAAGTGACCCTGCAGTACCGCTCCTTACCCAGGCCGGCTAAATCCTCCAGTGGGGTGGCCGCAGGGCGCAGCGGGCATCGCTCCAGCTCCAGCAGCATCGACTCAAATGTCAGTGGCAAGTCAGCCGGTGGGGCAACAACGCAAACAGGCACTAAACGCAGGGATGGAAAAGTGGGCTCAGAACGCTCTAGTCCCATCACCATCAACCAGACAGATAAGGAGAAAGTGGCGGTGTCAGATCAAGACCCAGCAGCAGGACTATCCACCTCCCCAAAGTCTAGCCCCACCTCCACCTCAACAGGCCAGTCAGGCCTCAGGCAACCAGGCTCCAAGTACCCCGATATCGCTTCTCCAACCTTTCGCAGGTCTGATACACCATACACACACACTGCACTCATTCTGTCTTTGTCCTTGACTTTGTGTTTCTGTGTGAATCCAGCATTTCATCACATTTCTTTTTCAATTCCCTGATTGTTAGTTAAAAGCAGCATCTTTTACAGCAAGGACATTTGGGGCAGTTTTTTTGAAAGACTGAATCTTTTCACCGTATCTTCTCCAGAATTTAGGCGAGTTTAATCCATTATGATACGTGGTGTTTAGTAACGCTTTTCCACTGCAGGTTATTCCCCAGGTTTCTATAACGGAGAGAAAAGATATCCATAATGTCAAAGTTTCACTTAAAATATATGCCATCTCTATCAATTTTAGATATGTTTGGATGTGCAAGATGAATATCAGACACTTAATAAATCATATTAGATTGCCTCCGTGGAAGTATTGATTGAGTCAGTAGACTTGGCTGCGTAGCTAAGGGGTGCCATAACATAGATTGCTCCCTGGTGTAGCTGATAAGTCACTGCAAATGCAACACATCTTTACCCTGAAGATGAGGGTCTGATGGCTTTTCATTCAGCAAATTCAACCCAGCAGTGTTTATCAGAACAGACAAGAGACAGGACTTTCTCTGCACACCAGTCCCTCACTCATTAGAAGCATGCATTCGGCAGGCGCGTCCAAACATGTGTCCCATCCAATTTGTCAAGCCAACACGTTTCATCTGCATGTCATAGCTTTTTTTCTTCCCCCCCAGAGTGTGTCACCTATATATTGTGTGATTGCGGTGACAGAGTGGGACAGGCACAAGCAGAGTAGCAGGCTGTCTGAGCATATGCAGAAGGCAAACAGGGCTGAGTGGCCTAACAGATTAGGTTATTTAAAGTCACGGGGTTGAAACGGCGAAGCTGTGAAAGCAGATGTGTCAGTGTAAATCACTGAGAGTTCACATCTACCCGAGGTCGAGATCGCTGCCAGGGAGAAATGTTTTGTAAAATGTGCTTAATATTTTTTATCTGTTAAATAAAGTTGTTGCTACAGCAAAGCAAGGGGATGTTTATAGAAGCTGCTGTCCACTATCCTAAAATAGGTTTCTTGTGACTATTGTAGTAGTTTTCTTTGTAATGTTTGACCAGTGAGATCACTGCACTTGTCACACCCAAAGTATACCAGAGTCCTTAAATTTTCCAGTAAGGATCTTGCAGATGCTCATCACTTGTCTTTTGAGCATTTCTAAATGATTGCACCCACCTCTCTGCCCTCAGATTGTTTGGTACCAAAGCTAGCAGCAAGGCCAGCTCTCCTGGCACGCCCGACTCTGGCAAGTGCCCCTCAATACTGGGCAGCCCGCACGGCACACTGGCGAGACAAGCCAGTCTGGACTCGCCTTCCTCTGGCACTGGGAGCCTGGGCAGCGCTGGCGGCCTGAGCGGTGGCAGCAGCCCTCTGTATGGTAAAACCCCAGACCTGTGCACCGACTCCCCGGCCTCCAGCCCAGCCTCTGGCCTCTCCCTGCCCTCCAACGCTCGGCCCTGGCCTGCCTGTAGCTCATCTGCTGGCAGCAAGGACACACTGAGCTGCCAAAGCATGACCAGTCTGCACACCAGCTCTGAGTCCATTGATATGCCGCTGGGCCACCATGGGCCCAAGGTTACACGAACCGGCAGTGTCAAGTCCACCCTGTCTGAGGGGTGAGTAACAGGGAATACGATTGGGAAGAATCGTATTCATTGTTTCATTTGAGAACAGAGACAAAACGTTTATCTCCCTATCCTAAGATGTAGACATACAATACAGATGAATAACAGAAAGAAATCATTCCTTCACAAAACAGTTTGGTTCAATTTAAGTTTCTTTTTCTGGCATGGTTTTGATACTATAGAAAAAAAATAAATAATACCTATATCTGCACAAAACAGTTCAATCAGTAGTTATTGTCTCAAAGTGCTATAAGGATAGCAATTAGCATTAAAGACATTTAACAGTCCTGATAGTTTCACAGTCCAAAGCCATGACAGAAAAAATACCACAGTAGATCATTTCTGACACCCATTCCTACGTGTAGCCTCTATAAAGGCCTCTCCATTTTTTTTGTCCACACACTTTGCATGAATTACATCATAGAGCATAGAAGCAGCAAACACATTTATTTTCCCTCACTAGTTCAGCTGTCTCAAAAATGAAACAATCTCAATTCTGCCTGTTTTATCCACGTAGTCTTTTGCACCGAGGTGCATTAGTAATGTCTTAATGGATTTTCCATTGTGTGCATCTTTGTGTATGTCAAAAGTCAAGTTTGTAAAATGTGACCAGTTCTTTTTCTTGTGTATCACAAAACAAATGTTTGCAGGTGTTCATCTAATTTGCTCATCCTCTGTGTTTTAACAGCATGCCACTTGACAGAAACACACTTCCCAAAAAGGGACTGAGGTACAACACATTTGCAGCCGCATTCGATTTTCAACTGTTCCTCTTTCACTCAGTCATGTAGATCATATGCATACATGCATCTGCATTCTAGTGTCAGGCTTTCCGTGTTGTTTTTCATGTGTCATTATTTGCACAATCCATAGCGGTGATTCCCAGGTAAAAGTCATCAATAAACAGTAAAATATTTACGTTAAAGCAGGGGTGTTCAACTCAAGGCCTCAAAGGCGGTGGCAGCTGATTTAAATGGCTAAATGGTGATGAACGAATCATTTGATTCAGGTGTGTTGACCCGGAGTGATATCTAAAACCTGCAGGACACCGACCCTTGAGGCCTGGAGTTGGACACCAATCGATAAAAATTATTAACTAGTTTATCAACCTGCCTCCATCAGTTCATGTTCACAATTATGTATAATTAGGCTGAGGTGATAATGATAAAGTACACAGGTTTGATAAGGATGTGGGTCAATCAAAAACTACTGCTCAATAAAAACTTTTTGAAGATTAAATAAAAACTGAGAGTCGATATCAAAAAAATGAGCGTAAACATTTATGTTTACACCATCTGTTTACATCCTAAATATGTTTAATAGCTCTTTTATGAACTGCAGATTTACAGTGTGACTCCTTTAGTGATACAAGCAGATTGGTTCTGATTATATTAGCACTTAAGTCAAGCACTGATCAAAGGCTGTTGATAAAAAGCAAACATCGCCACCATAATCTCACCTAAATGGATGCTTAACTCCCTTGAGGCACTAATAAAGCGTGACCTGCTTTATCATCCATAATTTACGAATGAATATCCTGTTGTGTTTATTAAGACTTTAAACTACAGAGCCTAACTCACCAGCAAAATGTTTATTGAGGTCACAAGCATTGTTTTCCCACAGTCTTGTGTTCATCTTGAGGAGTCAACCCCGCTGCTTAGGAATAATGTCGTTTGATAACCTCCTTTAGCCCAACAAACTATGTCCATCTTTTCACATACAGTCTGTTTACATTTGACTAAATATATAGGGAACTCATATTTGAGTCTAGCTAATTTTTAGTGTTTTCTCCCTTCTGTTCATCATGCAATTATGTAACAAACTCTGGAGCTCAAATTAGATTTTGACTTCTTTGAATTGATGCAAAAAAAAAAAAAAATCTCTAACATACTATGAATGCTATCTGGGATGATGAGGGAGCAGTGTGTTTTTCCATCTGTCTGCTTGTCTGCTTCTCTGTGCTCATCCTAATCCTACACTCATCTCATGCAAAGTTAGAAATGTGGCAAACGCAGCCACTGAGTTCTTTCTCTGCTTCCGAAAATGGCTTAAACTTTCCGATAGCATTTGCTCTGTTAGCTGAGGCGAGTGTAGAATGAATGTTTTGAATTTAGCTGTAACTGAGTGGACGGAAACTGAAGCACCATGACCTATTCATCACAGTGGCACAACTGATACAGGGAACAGCCTTTCCAGCCAATTATAGAGTACTGCTGGAGAGGTGTCGGATGGGGCATGCTGGGTGTTCTTTCATTTTTCGAGCATTTGACGCTCGTGCTATATGGAGCCTAAAACCATCTGATCTCGCATGACACTTTTGCCTTTTTTGCCTCAGTGCGGTCTGCAGTGTTCACTTTAACGTTTTTATTGGCAATGGCAATCTGTTTTCATCTTAAACATGCCAAATAGCTCTTTTATAAACTGTAGACTTTCTACATGGGGAGCTTAGATTAATAGATTTGCCTCCTTTAGTCATACGCTGTAAATAAGCGGATTGGTTGTGATTATATTAGCACTAAGTATACCGACTCAAACACTGACCCTTGGATATTTCAGTCTGTTCCATTTCAACTCCAGCTGCAGTCTGACAGCACTCAGTGCAATCTTAGACGCCCAATTGCTGCTGGAGAGAATAGCGAGCACAGACGCAGGACTAGAGCAGGGTCAGATGTGACAAGCGTAGTAATGGGGGCGTTGGAAGGAAGAAGCCGCTGAAAAGAGATGAGTGCAAACTCAATTATCATCCTCAGAGGATTAAATATGGCCGATTGTCATGTGTGCGGTAAGGGGGGCTTCTGCTGCTGAATTACTTTCGAGTTTGGGAGAGAGGAGATCAACAGCAGAGTCTGTGTGTTTGGCAGCTTTAAGCCTGAGTAGTGTGTCTATGTATAAAGAGAGAGAGTGTGTGTGTGTGTGAATATATATAGTTATTATACATAAATGACTGCATGTGTGTAGATGCATGCACATCCACTTCTGTGTGGTATGGTTTTTAATATTTTTATGCCATCTGCTTACGTCCTTCTACTGTGCAGCTTCATTAGTTTACACGTCTTCATCACTTGAACTTTTAAGTAATATAGTTTATTACTTAAAAGTAAAGTCTTGCCTTGAGTTTAAAGTGTGTTTTGTGGGTTTCAGATACCCTACCTCCTCCAGGCAGACATCTCATGAAGAAGGGAAGGAGTGGTTGAGGTCCCATTCAACAGGAGGTCTTCAGGATACTGGCAGCCAGTCCCCTCTGTCTCCTCCTGGAGCCTCTTGCACCACCACAGGAAAATACCACTACTCCAACCTCTGTGAGTCAAAAGGAAAAAAACTATTGTGCCTAAAATGTGTGTATCATATCGACAAAGGCTATGATAGACATATGAGCACAAAAAGGATGCTTGTGATATGATGTGTAATTAATTAAAGCATTCTTCAGTGCATAAATAAATAATATCTGAGGTGATTATTATTTAACAACTTGTTATAAGTAGGTTTTTAGTGCCTGCATGAATGATTGATGACTGAAACGCACGTGAAAATGTTACATGGTAGATGTATATGTTTTGCTCTGTGCAGTGAGCCCCACCAACATCAGTCAGTATAACCTGCCACCAGGCAGCACCAGCATGAGCCGCTCCAACAGTATCCCCACCCAGGACTCCTTTGACCTGTATGGAGAGGGTCACCCACTGGGTGGCAGCGCAACCTCTCTGGAGGAACGACCACGTGCCATCAGCCGCTCTGGGTCCTTCAGAGACAGCACTGATGAAGGTGAGACACACACTCGTTCTCGACCGACTGTCCAGAACAAACCCAATTCCTCACAAAGAAGCTAAAACAGTGAAAACAGTTTTTACTGTCACTTTCAACAAAGCAAAGTCCCACCAGCTATCAAGAGCTTTGATACCAGCATTGCTGATAGGTCTCTGTTCTGGTCAGGTCAGCATTTTAAATTGGGTTTTTTTTTTAGTCCCGCAAGTGATTGCAGTTTTTCACTTTACATATTCTGAATAAGTAAGCATAAGAGCTGCTGACCAATCAGCCAAATAATTTGTAATAATATAAGTATTGCAAACTGAGTCACAAAGTGAAGACAGTTAAAGGACAAATATCCATGTTTTACCTTAAATGTCTTTGTATACTCATGTGCACCGTCTCTGTGTCTTACAGTCCATGGCTCCTCACTGTCTTTGGTTTCCAGCACGTCGTCACTGTATTCTGCGGTAAGTATCTAAGAAGTGTGACAGAAATCCCTACTGAGAAAAAACCCCTAACCATAGCAATATATCTGAGATTTCACTTCTATTATTCTTTTCTGTAGTAATGGCATTCCATACAAACATGTCAATTTCTATATTGTAATATAAATAATTACTTAGAATCACTGTGTTCCCTTTTTGTTAAGGATTTTTTAAGGAGAAAAAGGAATTGACTGTAACTATTTGCAAATATTTACCAGGATGGGGTGACAATATTTTATTCAGTCCTAATTGATGCCTTCCTCCACTCACATAGAGCATTTTGAAGTTGGCAAAATCAGTTTAGCATCCTCTCTGCCTTTCTCTTTTGGCTTCTAGCCTTTAAGAAGACGCCACTAGGGCTGGGCGATATGGCCTAAAATTCATATCGCGATATAATTTGAAGCA